CGCCCATATGTTCCTTATGTAATGTCCCTCTTTCAGTTGCAAACATTCTGTTATCCTGTCCACGCTCTGCGGTAGCCCGCATCTCTGCTTTCCCCTATTTATCCTCCCTTCACCGACCTCCTAACCTATCAGTTATCCTTACTGAATCCCACACTTTGTGCCTTGACAACCTGTTCTCCTTCCTCAGATGCATACATATCCTTCACTTGAGTTAATCCCCTTACCTAACCCCACCGTAATCCATTCACTCATTAACTCCTTTACCCATCTTTAACCTTGTCAATGTTACTCTAGATAGTTGATGCAGAGCAACTAACTACTAACCGTCCTATAGTGTTACATGACAGGTGTCAAGCACATTTATTTTGCTTTTATCCATTAACCAGTTTCGCATTACGGCATGTTGGAACACGCAACCTTCCTTATACAAGGACCTTCTCTTAGGGTTAAAACTAGAAAAGATTTACATATTCCAAAGTTCTGGAATGTAATCCCACCATAAAGTGAGAGTTTATTGTCCTGTGGGTTCTCAAATATATTTTTACATGTGTAATGCTTAATGGTTTAAACCTGTGGTCCCCAACCCTTCTTGTATCTGTGGCCAAGACCGCCGACATGAGGGGGGGGGGGGTAATGACCCCAGGCCGTAAAAAATTACAGTAGTCGCTTATTTGAGCCCAAGAACAACTAAAACATACTAAACATACTAAAACAACGTTACAGCAGTTAACGCTGACAATATTAAAAATAAGGAAGTGGTTAAAAAAATGTCCACAATCCTCTGCCCAACTAGGGATATTTTTGAAGTTATGTGATATTAGTAACATATTCTTGATTTGAAGTTCTTGATTGGAAGTTCGAGTAACATAAAGTTTATATTAACATAAAAGTTTAAGGGAAAAATGGGCGTTTCCTTTTTGAAAAAGGCATTTCCCACCTAAAATGGATGTGGCCCTGAGGACCCGGCCCTGGTCTTTGCCCCGGGGCATAATCAGGCGGCCCTGTTTATGGCACCTAATAATCACCATGGCCCCATTCAGTGTTTGTCATCTTCAATTCAATTATTACTAGTAATGTGTAATTAAATGGTGTCAATAACTATAGGACAAGAACGATTTGGAAGACTCCAATTTACTGATATGCGAGAGAGAATTAGATTTAGGTACTATAAGTGAGATAAAATTCAGTTTAATTCTACACCATGATTTTCATATTGCTCCATGGCCCCCAGGATAGTAACCACTAGTTTAAGCAGATAATTGTGCTGGACACCAAAGGTCAAACAGCACTACATTAAAAGCATTCAGAAATAAGAAACACTCTAATCCTTGACTTTTTATGAGAAGGTATTTTGCAATACCTGTATCTTATACTTAGTGATGGTTAAGACAAACATCATTCTGGCTCAGTGGCTTTGCACCTACCTCCAGGTGTAGATGTAATCTGTTCAAGTCCCAAAGCTGAATCACTGTTAATATTAAGAAAGGCATCCAAACAGGAAAGGGCACTGCATTAACAACGGGGGATAAAACAGGACCACATAAGAAAAAAATAATTTTTTTCTCAATTAAGTATTTGCAATTTTTTAAAACCATCATAATGTTAGACTTATATAATTCAGAAGAGGTGTCAAGACCTTTTCATGCTTTATTTTTGGCATTTTGGAAAACCTAATTAAGGAAACTTTGTAGTTTCCCCTCTGTTATATCCTAGTGACACCTCACCTCATTATCTAATTTTTCAAATTCAAAATCAGCATTAATTATTTTCTCACGAGAATAAATTCAAAAAAAGTAGACAAAACCTCTTACAACCTCCTTGAACTTAACAAGGTCTTTTCAAACTAAAATTCTTGCACTACTATGATAATGTGTGAATACAATTTTTGATGGCCAAAGTATTCTTGTAGTTTTGCTGAAAGTACTGTTTCAATCCATTTGTTTGGTTCTATAAAGGTTAATAAACACAGCCAATATAAGAAAAAATTATTTTTTTTGAAACCAAAATTTTATATGAGTTTCTCCTCCCCTTCTTACATATATATTACAAAATATTGTCATACATAGTTACAAAAGAGTAAAGCATACATGGTACCTTTACTCTTTAGTATCAAAAGTTGAAAATGTTTCATTATTCAACATTTTCACTACAATTATGGATTAAGATATATAGCTTTACAAGAGATCAGATACCACATCTAAATGATATATACACCATGTCTCTGATAATAGTTGAATAAAAAGGTTCCAGACCAAAGTGATAATGGTCTGAGTCTCACTGGATATATTTTCAAGGTTGGGGACCTTCCTTTTATTTTTAAAATAAACAAAATATATTTCTATATTAACTTCTACAAAAATGAAAGTTTTACCATTTGAACTTAAAAGCAGGAAGCAAAAATGTTAGTATTCTTTGTATACTATTATTCCTATCAACATACAGCTAACCAGATACTTAATCTTTGTTTGATGTGGACTAAAATAGATAATTAACATCTTACACACACACAGCACGCACGCACGCAGGCACGCACGCACGCACGCACGCACGCACGCAGCACACGCACGCACACACACACACCACACACACACACACACACACACACACACACACACACACACACACACACACACACACACACACACACACACACACACACAAAATAACTAGAGAGAGCCCATTGAACACAAAAGCGAACCTTTATAAAGATTTCTGGAAACATACATGAAATCATTCCCCATATGATGGAAAATGCAAGTCAAGAACCTGCTCACTAGCAATATGCTGAATTATTTCCCTGTATTCTCCAGTGCTTAAGGGTTATGAAATAATACGGGGTCTAAATTTTGTTCAGTAAAACAATGTTTGTATTGGCATATCTCAAAACTGTCAAGGAGCTGTGACACCACATGCAGGCACTTCTCTTAATTACACATGTGAGCACATGCATGAATGCAAGCTCACAAACAAACCCATATACCATGTGCATGTTAAAACCTTTTGTAATTTGATAGTGGTCTTGGTAGATTTGCTAATTTTCATAGGGCCCAGTATTAATTTTGATGATTAAATAATCATACACAAGAATATGTTCTCTAATGTAATTTTGAATATGAAACAGATTACTTGTCATTGTAGTGTGCTGCAGGTTATGATTTGTGATGGGATTTTTTTTATACTCTTTTTACTAATTACACACAATATCCTGTATCAGCATGTTGCAATTTCTTCCTTGATTAGGTGCCATAATTATATTGCAAGCTGAAGGTCATGGCCAGTCCCACTTATCCAATCTTTGGTATCATTTGATATTACTCATCAATAAATGAATTTAGTATGATGAGTAATATGGAGTTCTTACCTTTAAATGCACCAAGCTATTGACCCAAATAGAAAGCTTTGATGTTGTCACAGAAGTGATTAGCTGATGCTGATTTTGTGTTTAATATTGCATATTCTGATATTCTCTCAGATGTGTTATAAGGTTATGGATAACACGGATATAGTAGAAGAGGATATGATTCTGCAAAGTTTAGAGTGGAATTCAATCCGGTTGAGCTATAAAATTTAGATGATCCAGCAATGGCCTGGGAAGTTAATGTATGGTCTAACCAGACAGACAGCAGGAGGAATAGAGAGTGAATGGTTAAATACCATAGAAAATAGTGTGTAAGTTGACATTTGCAGCCTAAAAAAATCTTCAAAACCATGGGTCAACTTGTACATTTTTTCCACTTAAGGGTAAACAAGTGAAACTGGCTGCACGACACGTACATCACCTCCCATAATTCTCACAGTGCATCACTAATATTTCCTACTGAAATTCATGTTTAGTAAGTCAATTTAACATAGAAACTATAATAACATCATTGACTTAACACATAGGGTAGGTTACGTTAGCCTGGTTTATCATGTAGAACTCACAGTGAATTTTAGGAATTGATCTGTGACTTGTACACCAACGTATACAGTAAATAAATGAGGGAAAGAAATGGGTAAAGAAAGAGCACATAAAGAATGAATGAGAGAGGCAGATTCGAAGAAAAGGAAGAGACAAAAGAAAGGAGAATCAATGCATGAGAAAAATATACAAAAAATAGGAGCTAGAAATGAGCCTGAGGGGATGAAGTACTTCATGAAACTCAAATTTGCTGTGTGGCACCAATACTTTGTGGAGATATATCTTCAAAACTATTCATCATATTAATCTCAATTACTGATTAATTTCATCACATGATACTAAAAAGCAAGTACAAAAATAAATAAGTAAATAAATAGTTTCTTGGCTTTAGCCATCACCTTTAAAGTATCAACAAGATTTTCATTGAAAAATGCATCCAGGGCTCTTGGGGCTCCGTGATTTTAGGTCAACTCTGACTACCTAATTGATAGGCTACATTATTCATTGGAGAAGAGAGAGAGAGAGAGAGAGAGAGAGAGAGAGAGAGAGAGAGAGAGAGAGAGAGAGAGAGAGAGAGAGAGAGAGAGAGAGAGAGAGAGAGAGAGAGAGAGAGAGAGAGAGAGAGAGAGAGAGAGAGATGAGCGAGAGAGAGAGAGAGAGAAAATGAGCGAGAGAGAGAGAGAGAAAATGAGCGAGAGAGAGATGAGAGTGAGAGTGAAATGAGTGAGTGAGAGAGTGAATGAGTGAGTGAGAGTGAGTGAGTGAATGAGTGAATGAGTGAGTGAGACGTGAGTGAATGAGTGAGTGAGAGAGTGAAGTGAGTGAGTGAGAGTGAGATGTGGTGAAGAGAGTGAGTGAGTGAGTGAGTGAGAGAGTGAATGAGTGAGTGAGAGAGTGAATGAGTGAGTGAGAGAGTGAATGAGAGTGAGTGAGAGTGAGTGAATGAATGAGTGAGTGAGAGAATGAATGTGAGTGAGATGAATGAATGAGTGAGTGAGAGAGTGAATGAGTGAGTGAGATGAGTGAGAGAGTGAATGAGTGAGTGAGTGAATGAGTGAGTGAGAGTGAATGAGTGAGTGAATGTGTGTGATGAGTGAGTGAGAGAGTGAATGAGTGAGTGAGTGAATGAGTGAGTGAGAGAGTGAATGAGTGAGTGAGTGAATGAGTGAGTGAGAGAGTGAGTGAGTGAGAGAGTGAATGAGTGAGTGAGAGAGTGGATGGGAGTGTGAGTGAGTGAGAGAGTGAATGAGTGAGTGAGTGTGAGTGAGTGAGTGTGTGTGTGTGTGTGAGTGTGTGTGTGTGTGAGTGTGTGTGAGTGTGTGTGAGTGAGTGAGAGAGTGAATGTGAGTGTGTGAGTGTGAGTGATGAGTGAGTGTGTGTGAGTGAGAGTGAATGTGAGTGAGTGAATGAGTGAGTGTGTGAGTGAGAGAGTGAATGAGTGAGTGATGAATGAGTGAGTGAGAGAGTGAGTGAGTGAGTGAGAGTGAGTGAGTGAGAGTGAGTGAGTGAGTGAATGTGAGTGAGTGAGTGAGTGAGTGAGTGAGTGAGTGAGTGAGTGAGTGAATGTGTGTGAGTTGTGTGAGTGTGAGTGTGTGTGTGTGAGTGAGTGAGTGATGTGAGTGTGTGAGTGAGTGAGTGAGTGAGTGAGTGAGTGAGTGAGTGAGTGAGTGAGTGAGTGAGTGAGTGAGTGAGTGAGTGTGAGTGAGTGAGTGAGTGTGTGTGCGTGTGTGTGTGTGTGTGTGTGTGTGTGTCTGTGTGAATGTGCGTGTGATGAGTGCGTGTATGTGTGAGTGAATGAGAGTGAGTGAGAGAGTGAGTGATGTGTGTGTGTGTGTGTATGTGTGTGTGTGTGTGTGTGTGTGTGTGTGTGTGTGTGTGTGCTGTGTGAATGAGTGAGTGAGTGAGTGAGGTGAGTGTATGTGTGTATGTGTATGTGTGAGAAGAGAGAGAGAGAGAGAGAGAGAGAGAGAGAGAGAGAGAGAGAGAGAGAGAGAGAGAGAGAGAGAGAGAGAGAGAGAGAGAGAGAGAGAGAGAGAGAGAGAGAGAGAGAGAGAGGGAGAAGTGGGGGGGGGAGTGAGAGAGAGAGTGAGAGTGAGAGTGTCTGAATGAGAGAGTGAGTGAGAGCAAGAGTAAGCGTGTATAAGTGAGCGTGAGTGTGAGAGTATCTAAAATATATATAAGCAATACTTTAGTTTGGCATGTAAAAATACATATACATAGAAGTATTAAAATCAGCATATTTAACCCAATCAGTACAGGATTTACCTATATCATAATGAGCCAAGTACCAAGCCTTCCATGCAACTGCTCAAGGGATAAATTAGAAGTAAGAGAAACATACATTCCTCCTCCTCTCAATGCTTTTGGCTGTGACATACATGACTTTAGGAAATGAAGCTACAAAGAGACTTGGAGCTACTTTAGAGGGCTTCTATCACCACCCAGCATTAGGGCCTGTCTTCAAATGGAAACATATTGGGAAAACACTCATTTACTGTCTCTATGTCTAAAACATCAAAATGATGAATATACAGATGCAAATAAATGCACCACTTGACTCATATCATGACTTTATATCATAGCTGAAGTCATTATCACATCAAGTTGAAACTGAATTAAAAAAAAAAAAAAATACATTTAGCATAATACATCTCTATTTAATAATGTATGTAAACCGTAGCATGTATGTGGGTATTCTTATTTGTCGAGAACTTCCTTAAATCTGATTTCCATTTTAAAGAAATAAATGAACTTTTGTTACATAACTTGTCTGCTCCATTCCAAAAACAGGAATTAAAGCAAATTTTTGGTAATATAAATTCTATAATAGAATTGTCAGTCAGTAACACACACATTAACTGATGTTGTACCATCCTTAGGTGTTATAGTTTATTTATCAAAAACAGTAACACTCAAGAGCAAAGTCGTGTAGAAAACAAATGGGCAAAATATGCATCTGTATGTTCAGTATAAAACCCATTAAAACTGAAGTGAGTAGATGAAGCTCTATTACTTTTTGGATTGCAGAAAATATCTGGCAAAAAATAAATACAGAAAATGAGGACAATTTATAAACAAATTTCATATCAGTTTTTTATGCTGGAAGAGACAAAACACTTCTGTATAGAAATTCAACTTACACAGTCAAGTGTACCACACAATTCATAACAATATGGCGAACAATTCATACAAGTCTTGTCCATGGAAGTATTTCTGTGATGTTATTCATTAAAAAAAAAAAAAAATCAATAGCTTGCATAACAACGCTCAACCTAATTTGAAAGGTTTCATCAAAACTTTATGAAACACCTGAGCTTTTTTAATGATATTCCTAAGATAAGAGAAAAAAGGAAAGTACAAAAATAACAATATGATAACAAAATGATGATGATTATTAAAATATTGATAACCCTTGCTTAAATGTACACATTCCCATTGCTTTAGCCCTCAGACACCTTCATCTGCTTCTTCAAGGATTTTCTTGCCATAAGCTAAGTCCCAATATTGTTCCACTCCATGTTTCTTAAAATGATCTCTTGCAAAAGATTCTGTGGGGCAAGCCTTGAACTGCATCTGCAGATATAGATTATCTATTAATAAACAGGATGATAATGAAATCAACAAATATATTTCAATAACAAATTATTACTTTAGATATTCTGAATTCATAGAAAGTGATACTTACCTCCCCAAAGCTTCGTTCAGGTACTGACCCTTCCCAAATCAACTGGCATTTTGATTCTAATTCAGCATCTTTCGAACGTGATTCTTCTGCCCATTTAATTCGCTCCATCATCAGCCTAAAAGTGAAAATATATCAATATCCAAGAAATATAAAGTAGAATACAGTATAAATATATATGATTTTGATATGTCAAGTGAGAAGTCAAAGTCAACCTAGTTTAAAAAAAGACTTCAGAAAAATTAAATTCTATATACAAAAATTATTTTAGTTTACTCTACTAGCTGTAGTGAATACCCACTTCTTGTATTTTTTTTGTTGTTTGGGTCCTCCTTCCACGACAACTACATTGATATCCTTAAATAATACAACTGTACCAGTCAAGAACAGCTGTTTTGCATTGGTTTCAACCTTAAACTTGTGGGAACCATTTGAAAAGTCTGTCACTCTGAAAAAGAAGATATATTGAGATAATATTGATTATATTTTTTCTAAATATCCTAAAACATGAAAAACAGAGAAATCCATAACCCTATCTATTCCTATCAAAAATTAAATTATGAACAGCCAGAATTATAACATTAAAAAAGCACACACATTACATAAGTTACATTTCCTCCAGTATTAACCAATGTTTATCTTTTTTCATTTTTCTCAGAAAAAATAGGATGTTCTTGCAACAAGATTTACATAAAGACTTTCTTATCTGGCAACTTTTTAGTTTCTTTACATCAACCAAAGTCAGATCAAATATATTTCTGGCTATATGGCCTGATAGCTACCTTTTTCATCAGAATTCATTTTAGCCCTGTTTGAGCTCTGAGAATACTGGTTAAAAGGACAAATTTAATAAATATCATCAAAGCTGGTAGCTAGATGTCAATATTCACAACAGCATTGGATAAATATCGAGTTGGGGATGTCACAAAAGTAAATAATGTGGAACTTCCTTAAACCCTTGGCAATTACTAAAGCCTTTAAACTTCCCTACTTATTGATCTATAGCCTAAAGTATATTTCCTACATGCAAGATTTCATGGACTGGAAGTACAAAAAGTCAACATTCCCCTGAAAATTCCACATGAACCAGCCACAACCAAATATACTAACTTGTACACTGATACATGGACTCCTGTAGTTGTATCTTCCTTGAGTTTCCTGATTTTCTTATCCCGCCTCTGGTCCGGTGTGAGCTTTCTTGCTGCATTGGCATCCTGGTGAGCCTTCAGTCTTTTGGCCATCTGCTCCCTCACATGCTTCTCCATTTTTGTTGGATCCAGGACAGCTTCTGTCCCTAACACACGCATCAAGTTTGCCATACGCACCTATATATAGAGGAATAAGCTTTAAATAAGAAATATCTCAGGTAATCTTTCAGCAAAGGATTCCACCATTTGTTTCACATGCTTACCAGGCAAGCAAATATGTCAAAATTAATAAATCAGAGAAAAAGTTCAATAAAATACAATTAAGAAAATACAATACTAAATATACTTTTAAAAATAACACACTGTACATCTCTATTTAGGCATATTTACTTTCTCTGAAAACATACAATTAACCCAATGCCAAAGGACAGCATGTATGCCCATACCACTACACTGATAGACTCAGTACCACCAAGTTACACTAAATAGCTGAATGCTCGTTTAGCCATGACTGCAGCTGCTGGAGAGTTACAGACCATCAAAAGTAGACCTGAGGTCATCATTTAGCCTTATTTACTGGAATTCATGGAGCCAAAACTGTAAAGGGTAGGAATAATATCCGTTTCCCATGCTTCTAATCTTCCCCCTTAACACATGGCTTGGTACAGCAAAGGAGACACCCAGAGGCAATGAGCTAAAAACTTGATTCAATATCAAACCTTTGGCTCTGGTGGAGGCTCTAATCCTAAACGAATCTTCTCCTGCTTTTCTTTCCATGCTTCACGTCTGTTCATGCGACGTAACTTTTTACGTTCTTGCTTTGTCAGGAACACCTGAAGAGTCACTGGTTTAGATGGATCAGATGGGCACTTCATTTCTAATGGATGTTCTATAAGCCTTGTAATATAATCTTCATTGATAGCAATAGTTTCATTCTCCTCTGGGTACCTACAGGATAAATTGAGAGACAATAAGTTTATAATTAATATATGAACACTTACATAAAAAGAAACATACATACAAAAAAATAATAAAAATGCAATAGACTGTAATATAACCAAATACCAAGTACTTTTCTATTACATGGATGGGTAGGTATGTAGGTGGGCAGGGAGGTGGGCAGGGAGATGGGCAGGGAGATGGGTAGGGAAATGGAATGGTAGGTAAGTGGGTGGGTAGATGGGGAGGTAAGGTGGGTGGAGAGTTAGGTGGGTAGGTGGATATGCTGTCGGGTGGATGGGTATGTTGATGGGTTGGTGGGCAGGTAGGTGGGTGGGTAGGATGTTGGGTGGGTGAGTGGGTAGGTTGTTAGGTGGGTGACTGGTAGAGTGGTAGGTTGTTGGGTGGTGAGTGAGTTGGTTATTGGGTGGGGTGAGTGGGTAGTGAGGTGGTGGGTGGGTGAGTGGGTAGGTGTGGGTGGGTGAGTGGGTAGGTGGTTGGAGTGGGTGATGGGTAGGTGGTTGGGTGGGTGAGGGGTAGGTGTTGGGTGGGTGAGTGGGTAGGGTGTTTGGGCGGGTGAGTGGGTAGGGTGGGTTGGGGTGGTGTTGGTGGGTGAGTGGTGGAGGTGGGTGGGTGGTGAAGTGGGTAGGTGGTTGGGTGGGTGAGTGGGTAGGTGGTGGAGTGGGTGAGTGGGGGTGGGTGAGTGGGTAGGTGTTGGGTGGGTGAGTGGGTAGGGGTGGGTGGGTGAGTGGGTGTGGTTGGGTGGGTGAGTGGGTATGGTGGTTGGGTGGGTGAGTGGTAGGTGGTTGGGTGGGTGAGTGGGTAGGTGGTGGGTGGGTGAGTGGGTAGGTGGGGTGGGTGATGGGTTGGTGGTTGGGTGGGTGAGTGGGTAGTGTTGGGTTGGGAGTTGAGTGGGTAGGAGGTGAGTGGGTAGGAGGTTGAGTGGGTAGGAGGTGGATGGGTGAATGGGTAGTTTTGTGGTGAGTGAGTGGGTAGGTTTGGATGGGTGAGTGGGTAGGTGGGTGAATGGGTGGATGGGTAGGTGTGTAGGTAGGTAGGAGGGTTGTTGGGTAACTGGGTGGTAGAGTGTGTGGGCAGGTGGGTGGATGTGTAGTTGGGTGGGAGGGTAGGTGGATAGGTAGGTGGGTTGATTTATGGTTGGTGGGTGGGTAGGTATGCAGGTAGATGGGCAGGTAAATGGTGGGTTAGAGGCGGGCAGGTAAGTGGGTGGGTAGGCGGGCAGGTAAGTGGGTGGATAAGTGGGCAGGTCAGGGGGTGGATAGGTGGGCAGGTAAGTGGGTAGGCGGGTAGATACGGAGGGAGGGAGGAAGGGACAGAGAATGGGAGAGAGGGAGAGAGGTAGGTAGGTAGGGAGGTAGATGTGTGTTGGTACATAATTCATGCATGTGTGTGTGTGCGTGTGTGATGATTCACACTTCACTGTTCCACAGGGTTTAAATCCAATAGCATAATTGAACATGAGAAAATGTGAGTTCCTAGAGCATATCATAAATAACAAAACTTTTTATAGATGAACAGCAAAAATGGCAATCATTCTATAAACCAAAGCTGAAATACAGAAACAAAAGCAAAAAAGAGCAAGCTTGTGTATAAATTTAAGAGGATTTTATATGGCAGTGGAGCACACTTCCATTTAGTGAATGAACACAAAAAAGGATGAGATTTACTGGGTCACCTTGTATGTTATACTGCATTTTTTTTTTTTATTAGTCTACAATCTACCAAAACTAAGAAAATATGATATATATCATCCAATTAAGACTAGCTACATATAAGACATTCTTTCATTAACCATCAACAGAAAAGCAAATCCAGTAAAAAATATCCAAACATTTGTTTCTACAATGTAATTTATAGAATTTCATGAATCTTTCCTCATTTGTAGATCATTGCTTATCTTTGATAAAATGTCATGTTCATAGACCTGTAGTCCCCCAAAAGTTTATCAGGTTGTTAGGTCATCATGTAAATGAAATTGACCTCTTAATAATTTCAGACTTACAAGAGAATATATTCAATATATTATTTTTGTTTCTCTCTCTTCAATGAGTGAGGATGATATTACCTCAACAGGTAATTCATCAATAAGTAACTCATGCACATCTAGCCTTATGCATGGAAGCAAAACCTGACAATCTTCAAGAAGCCTTCGACCTTGCAATCAAAAGACTCAAGCAGATACATATATAAGGAAGCTATATCTTGTGTCCATAAGCTGTAGAGAGTAACAACCCAGAATAAAAACATATAAGTAGAATTAGTAATCCACAAATAAATATCATACTGACAAAGTTTCCTACCTATTTCCTTTCAGAATAACAGCATCCCACCACTCAACTTCTGGACATCCATCAGTTGTGCTTTTGATGTCTCGCTGCTCCAGCTGTGCTAATTTAGCTGCAGAAGAAATGCCAGTCTTCTTTGCAACTTGGGAGATTTCATTTTGGAGTTTCTCTAGCCTAGCCTGTAAGATACAAAATTGACACTCATTAGGCATACTATTTTAAATGCACATAAGACAGACACATCAAAATGGAACCTGTGTAAAGTATCAATATTAGGATATATGCATTTCTTAAGAACAATTTCTTTTCCTTATACAAAAACAACATATTAAATCAATAAACACATACATACATAAGTTTACATAATTTTATATAATTTTTCTTAGCCTTGAATTTAAAAATAAAATAGGGTAACCACTTTCTATGTACAAAACACTCACCTTTGCTCTCTCCCTCTGAGCTAACTGGATAAATCTGCCCTGGTCATGGAACTTAAACATTCTTTTAGCTTTCATGGAAGGTCTAATACTGACGCGATTATCAAAGAATGTACTTTCAACAGTATCTTCAACAGGTTTCTCCTGCAACTGTTGCTTGAACTCCTCTCGTTTCTTTGCTCGTATGTTGGCCTGCAATGGAAAGTTCCCTGAAATGCTACAAATTTCAATTCACACACATGTACATGCCCATGCACACACACACAAAACTGAAATCTATTCCATACAAAATTTAGTCACAAACTGTTGAAAAAAGCTTTTTCAATATCATCTCTTTACTGCAAGGACACATGAAGTGAAAATAATCTACCTTTAGAGTGGGAATCCGCTGTGTCAGATGAACCTCCTTTCCACTCATATCTACAGTTCTTCCTTCAGCATCAAGAATAAGAGGTGTTGGCTTGCTTTGCTCACCTTGAGGTTTAGCTGGTGGAGGGGCTCCACCAGCTCCACCTACACCAGCTGCCAAGGCACTTCCAATCCCTACTGCAGACACATTACCTAGTTGTGCTTGAATGCGTGCTTGTAGTTCAGCAATGCGAGAACTCACATCACTGCTCCCAACAGCTGCTAAGACTGCTGGGGTAGCTTGGTTGATCAAGGGTACAGCTGCAATTCCCAAACAAAAAATTTATGCCCATTCCAAAAAAAAAAATCAATATGACAATAAGAAGGTTATCAAGAAATTTAACAAAGCTACATATTCAATTGAGAAAAAAAATTGTTTCTGTCAATTGTTGTAATTCAGTAGAAGTACTACTTGTTTAAAAAGTCTTATTTTCAATTAACTATTTCAAAGAAAGAAAAAAATGAATAAATAAAGAATACCTAACCTATGTGGCATGAGGCATCTCTATTACTTAGAAACAATTTACAGAATTATATCATTAAAATATAGTGAGCATAACAGTGATAGGCATACACCTAGTTTATCTCAACGTAATGCTGCAGATCTTTCTGAAGTGACAATTCTTAATTCCAATTGATGAATTGGGTGTTACTGATGTGTACATACCTGCTCCATTGGTTGCAGGTTTTGGCTCCACTGGATGCAGATTTGCCATTGCCTTTTTTCTTTCCTCAATAACTGCCTGTGCCTTGGCCATAATATCCTTAATCTGGAATTCATATAAAAATAAATTTATATCCATTTCAGTAATACAAAAGCTATTGCATCAACAACAGTAAAAGTGATAACATCAATAATAGTGTACATACATGACAAAAAATAAGATTTATGCTACCCTACCTGCTGAGCCTGGATCTGGCCAGGGCTGACTGTGTTATTGGGAGCTGTGGCAGGTGGTGGTGGGGGCTGCTTGCTCTCAGGGGGTGGCTCTTTCTCCTCCTTGACCCTGGCTCTCTTGCTGTCTTTCTCCCGATCATTTTCATCTTTGTGTGTGCGCTTGCGAGAGGATGAACTCTTGACTTTGGCCCCAATGTCTTCTAATACAATAAATGCCTAGAAAATGGTAGAAATATATTTCCTCGGTTCTAGCCATGCACTTCTAAAGAATATATATGTGAATCAAAAAACTGTCTATATCTTGTAATAATACATTCACCATGTATATGATACTGATACACCTGCAGAACATCCAGCAAAACATACTGACTTCTGGACTATCTGATTACTTCTTGAATATGGCACAGTTTCGGAAAAAAAAATTATGCATGTGAAAAATAAATGTCTGTGGAACTACTTTAAATACTAATGTAAATAATCTTATTTCCAAAAAATATATTTGTGATTCTTAGAAGTACATGAACACCTAAACAAAAGTTTACATGTAACAGGTGGAAAACAACATTGACTACCTGAGTATGTTCTTAGAAAAAAAAAAAAAAAAAAAAAAAATCTTCAACATTAATACAAAAAAAAATTGTTCCCTCACCTTTTCAGCTAATTTGTATGCTAAACTCTTATCAACATAACCCATTAGCTTATCTTCCACTTTTCTCTTGTCACATCCTGAGTCAACTGCATGAGCAATGGCTGAAACAATACTTGACCTATCACGAGTCACGTATTTGTAGACCATTTTCTCTACTGCTGCTTTGTAGTCCTCATACTCTCTCTTTGAAAGGGACATGACTGCAATTTGTATTGAGTAACTCTGAAAAAGGAAATTGTACTTACTATTTGGCACATGGAGATTATATTACATGAAAAGCATATGTATGTGCATAATACTGTACTGTATCCTGATATTCCTTTTTGTCTTAGAGATCATACAAACTTGTAAGACATACATACATGACAAGCTGTCAATCAAAAATAAATAAATAAATAAATAAATAAATAACAAATAAAAAATAAATATATTTTTTTTAAAGGTCATATGAAGTATTCACACAAGCCAAGTGTTTTGTCAGGGGAACACAGAAATGGCTTTGGTTATGACTTTATAGATAAATCCACTTCTCCATTACTATCCCAATGTTAGGGAAAGATTGCCTTGAAAAACAGTATTCTTTATCTTTATTTTTCATATCCATCAAGCCAGTTTCATTTATATCTAACTGCATTCTAATCTTTATCTTTCCCTTGATTTTAACTCTATTTGGTTTTAGCACTAGTAGTAATTGTAGATCTACTCAAATCAAACACTGTACTCATGTCTGGCAGCAAATAGACCTTTCTTTTTCTAATAAAAGTTTAACTTGACAGGCTGGTAAGGTTGGTGATGATAATAAACTGAAATAAAACAATACTATTTGGGTATGCTGCAAACAATCAATACCAGCTTCTTAAAAGCATTCTTTGTTTCAGTAAAATAAATAATGTATCAGCACAGGATGGAAACCATTCAGAGTTAGTTTTCCTTGTTTTTCTGTCCATATTTTGATCAAAATAAGAAATCCATATCTAGTAAAGTAGCACAAATTCATCCTCAGGTAACTTTACCAAAAGATAAAAGAAAAAGGGGAGGGGAGGGGAGGGGAGGGGGGGAGGGAGGGGAGGGGGGAGGGGAGGGAGGGAGGGAGGGAGGGAGGGAGGGAGGGAGGGGAGGGAGGGAGGGAGGGAGGGAGGGAGGAGAGGGAGAGAGAGGGAGAGAGAGAGAGAGAGAGGAGAGAGAGAGAGAGAGAGAGAGAGAGAGAGAGAGAGGAGAGAGAGAGAGAGAGAGAGAGAGAGAGAGAGAGAGAGAGAGAGAGAGGAGAGAGAGAGAGAGAGAGAGAGAGAGGGAGAAGAGAGAGAGAGAGAGAGAAGGGAGAGAGAGAGAGGGAGGGAGGGGGAGGAGGGAGGAGGGAGGGGAGGAGGGGAGGGAGGAGGGAGGGGAGGGAGGGGAGGGGAGGGGAGGGGAGGGGAGGAGGGGAGGGGAGGGGGGAGGGAGGGGAAGGGAGGGGAGGGGAGGGGGAGGGAAGGGAAGGGAAGGGAAGGGAAGAAGGGAAGGAAGGGAGGGGAGGGAAGGGGAGGAAGGGAGGGGAGGAGGGGGGAGGGAGGGGAGGGAGGGGAGGGGAAGGGGAGGGGAGGGGAGGGGGAGGGGGGAGGGGGGGAGGGGAGGGTGAAGGGTGAAGGGTGAAGGAAGAAGAGAGAAGAGAGAAGAGACAAGAGAGATTTTTTTTTTTTAAATCACCCATCACCAGTAGGTACCCATTATACAGAGACAGTATGCACAAGGTCCTGATTGGATGTAATTTTCTGTTTCATTGTATATACATATATATATATAAAAAAAAAGGTATGCACTGGTCAGGAAATACACATGCCATAAATGCTTGCAGATAAATAACACTGACTGGTCTTATGACTTCTTGGCACAGAGTACACAGAATTTCTCCGGTTCCACTGATAAAGTCTACATTGCTTGGTATCTAAAACACGCTGATCTTAATGCTTGGGACCCATAATAGACTCTCCAATCACACTGTGAGAGCAATTAATGTTTATCTGTTATATAAGGCCAATATGTTGGATGGAAATTGGTTCATAATCAACAACACAATCTAAATAAAACATTTTTAATTAGTGTTTTTAATGAAATGATAGATAATGGAACCAACAAAAATCAAGGCTGTGAAAATACAAAATACATACATTATTAGCAAGGAATTACCTATATAACACTAGGTAAATTAAACAAATAAATATCTAGGTCTTTGGTTAACAATAAAAAGTTTTTATCACTATTGCATAGTAATATCTAAACTAGCAAACATATTACAGGAATGAGGTGCAATGTTAGTGTCGGAATTAACACTATATTGTAAACACTGTTATCGAAGTCTTATATGAGAGCCCTTTTATCACTTTCATGCTGTTTAATACATAAATAATTTTTTTAAATTCATTCGCTTTAAGGGAACCCTCCCTGAAAATGTCTACCTTGCTCTACTCATTTTATCATTAAAATATATTGGCTAG